ACTGCAGAAGTAACATTTTGGAATAGTCTATAACTCTACAATAGTATCTTGGTGCTTGCACTAATCATCTTCTCTTTTCATTTAATCCATCCAGAAAAGTTATATAGTCACCACATAAAACAGAGATGCATCTCAGTCATAATATCTGAGGATTACTGCAGGCTGAGAAGCAGAGGTGTCCACAACAATTGTAAAAAAATGTGGCTGTTCAATTGTAGGTCCTTTTGTATGGGCATCTTCCATGTGATACACATGGATGGGCTTCAAGCACATGGTGGTGACTACCACCTTGACTTTTTGCAGTCTTCTTCACAGACACTGACAGACACAGACACAGACAAAGAGAAGAGAATGTATAAGTGACCTATCTCCAGTCAATACATTTCTGATATCACCAGAAACATTTATTATATTCTTGACAATTGAGATATCTGCTAGGCATTCCATTTACTCTCACACATACTGTACGTCCATCATATACTGTTATCACATTCAGCATTTTACCTTCAACTCCATATTCATTCAACATTCCATAATTTTTAATATTTGTTAACAATAACGATTTTAGATGTTTATTGCTTTAGTTTTGTTGTACATCGCTCAGAGTCACTTGTTCATGAAATGAGCAGCTCTAGAAATTAGATAAATAAAACTCCCAGGCTTTTACTTGCCATATGCTTGTTTTAATCAATAAATTTTCTAACCTTCATACTTCTCTCTTGACCTGCTGAAAAGTAAAAATATGTTCCACAAACATTTTGTCTAGTGTAAAATTGCACTATATTTCTCAAATTTCCCTTTTTGATGTCTGGACCTCTTTCAGACAGAGTTGAGAAGATCTTTGGAGGAACTGGGATGGTCCATATCCATTCTAGTCCTCCTTGACCTCTCCGTGGCTTTAGATACTATTGATCATAATCTCCTTCTTGACAAACATAAGGGTCTGGGAGTGTTGGAGTTTGTGAATGTTACAGTGATTCTTCTGCCTCTGGATTCAGTTCCAATCAATGTTGTGAGAAGAGGACCCATAGGGTTTGCCTGTTTTCTGTTCTTATTTAACATCTACATGAGGTTGTTGGGCAAAGTCGTCCAATGGCACATATTTAGGTATCATCAATATACTGTTATTATATACATTCAAATACAATTGGTTGATGAGTGATATCATCAAGGTGCTTTCTCAGCATCTCACGGAAAGGACAGGCTCAGGCTCAGTTTGGAAAGGCTGAGTGAATATAGGTTTGGGAACCTCCAACAGCTGGTGCACAATTTTGGGGGGACAGGACTCTTGGTGCTAAGTTCCCATTTAAAGACTAGATCAGAGGTCCCCAATCATTTGGGCACCAGGGACCGGTTTCATGGAGAGAGGTTTTTTTGCAGACTGGAGGGGGTGTGGCTTTATGTGTTGCCTGCATCCTCCAGATAGGGCTTCACTTGTTTGCATGGACCAGTTTCTGGTGCCGGTCCATGGACTGGAGGTTGGGGACCCTGAACTAGATAGTAGTTGTAGTTGGAGGGCCTTTGCATCAGTCCCGAGTACAATTCTTGGAAGACCTTACTTTGCATAGCTTGCCATTTTGTTCCTATTTTGTTCTCTGAAGCACAGTTTTAAAAATCTGAACTCCCTGCAGATGTCAAATGGCTTAATGGTCTCTTTTGAACTTTTGTTATGTCTATTTATTCTTCAGATCATTCGCAAAGTTACTAAGCAATCGGTAATGCTGGATGTGGATGAACCAGTTTCCCAGTTGCATAAATGTGCATTCCAGTTTCATGGGAGTGATAGGATGTACCTCTGCCTCTCAACAGAGAAAGTAATCCAGTACCAGGTAATGGGGATGCAGTTGTCTTCCAGTAACCAACCTAGCTTGGAACTAAGTGTACTGCAGGTATCCACAAAGCTTGAAGTTGTTCAAGTTGTGTGAGTATAAAGAAGAATGTGCTTGCTTGTACTCAGAGGAAGAAATTCAATCAACAAATGAGAAGTGAAAGCAAAGATGAGCAAATAAGTCCTCCCCCCCCCATCCTCTTTAACCTTCCAAGAATAAACAAATCTTTTGAGTTGGTAAAACTTCTGGGAGTGCACAGGTTCCATTTATAGTTTAGATCTCTAGAAACCTGGTGCTAGATATCTGTGAAATTTACCTCCTATCCATAGAGAGTAAAGAGAATGGCCATGATGAACATTGTCACTCTTCCCTTCATGTGTTCAATATATGTAGAAGACTATCTGAATAGACCACAGTGACAATGCTTTCCTTTTTCCCACAAAAATTGAGACTTGTCAGAAGGTAAAGTGCATGATCCTATATCAGTATATTAATTGGCCGCAACTGGAGAATTACAGATGGCTATCTGTAGACTGAAATAATTGGCAAAATTGGTTCCTGAGTAGATTGAAATAATTGGTAAAATTTGAGCAAGATTGGATGTGATTACAGTTTCCCATGGCCATAATCAAGATCACTTCATCAGCATAGAAATGGGGAAATTAATTAGACAGACCCCCCCCAAAAAAAATTTCCATGCTCTTTTTTTTTTTTTTTTGCAGGCTAGAAATACTGAAATGGAAAGTTGAAAGTATATGTGTAGTGTATAATTCCATTATTTAACCATTCAAGCTTTTCATTTAATTATTTCACTAACAACATTAATAGAAAGTGGCAAGTATCATATTGATCAGGTAAGACTTACTTCAGGCTTCCCCAATCTGTCTTTCACAATATCTAGACTACAGCTCCCAGGATTCCTGGCTAAAATGGAAATTCGGAGAACTGTATGGCCAGTGCAGACAGGAAAAGTCTCCTTAATTTAGTATTTTTCAAACTTGGCAACTTAAGATATGTGAACTTTAACTCCCAGAATTCCCCATTGAGGATGCTGAAGTCCACGGATCTTAAAGATGCCACATTTGAAAAATACTTAGTTCAGTTCCTCAGCTGTAAATAGAAGGCTATGGGACTCTCTTCCCAATTAAGGCAGGCTGACTCCATCTCTATTGCATTTTAATCAAGACTTTGCTGGCTTCTAAATAATTTTAACATTGCTTTGGATTGTTTAAATAAATCTATCAACTGTATCTCTCTGCTTTGTATGGGTGATGACTTTGTAGAATAATTGCCTTTTGGTAGTCAGAAAAGTGGTTTATAAAAACAATTGATGAATATATTCAAAGTTGATGTTTATTGCTATGCAGGCATCTCCCTGTCCCAAAGAAATAAATCGAGAATTACTGAATGACAGTTCCTGTTGGACCATCATTGGGACAGAGGCTGTGGAATATTCATTCAGCCTCAGTCCAACCAGCATCAAGAATCCAGTGGGCCCCGTCCCTCTTATAACGACCTTGGAGGTACATAGAGGGTTTTTTTCATGCTCTTTTGCCTTGCTGCTTTGTGCAAAAAATCAGGAGACAAAATGTTAGCTATTTCATCTTAATGACTCTAAAATGGAAGATTCATTTAGTCTTTCTTTCCCTGAAATAGCAATTGTGCAGAATATATTATAAGTATAATAATTAGTATATTATTAGTATTGTAAAGTCCCAGTCTCTTACTTGAACTTGAGATACCATATCAATCTAATCAGATAACCCAAGCGGAGACTTCTTGATCAAGCAGCACTTTATTTGATCAAATTAAGCAGCTGGGTGGCCAACAATCTGGAACGCTGGCAGAGTTACATCCAGAAGTGCCACGCATTAGAAAATTGGTAGCATTGCTTTATAAATCGGACAACAGAGCCATTACATCATAAGAAAGACATCAATCATTCCTGTACACTCCCTTATTCCCTCCTTCAGTATATCCCATCCATGTACATGTTTCCCAAACTTGCATGAAATTTCTCTGATGCAAAAGCTGATTTAAAAAGTAAGAAAGCAACAGTTAGACTAAACAATTTCCCTTTGTTCCAGAACCCTTCAGTATATTAAATTAATAGTATATTAAATTTAACTATTAAATAAAATTATTCTTTCCTTGTACAACCATCTCTACAAACAGCTTAGATAGAACATTCAGTTTTGGATGTTTTGGAACAGAGACTGGCAATTTGTATGAGTTAATTAATATAGAATGCAACAATAAGACTAGTACGGAGCTCCTTTGGGAACAGAAAGCAGAACCTGAAGTGTGGTTGCAGAAAAATGTTTATTTATGAGACTAAAATGAAGGATTACATTGCTGCTTTGTGTTCTTCCATATCTTGGAAGCATTCAGATGGGAGGCATAAAAGTAAGCATAACCTGAGGGTTTTTTCTGTTCTCTTAATGCAGTTTGGAAACTACATTACATGAACCATATCAATATGGGATCAACATGATCCCATTTAAATTATTTATTTATTTATGTGATTTCTATAAGCATCAATACATTTTACCCTTCCCAGCATGGCTTGGGTATATGAGAAAACTGGGAAACCACTGTTCTCCAGGTATTCAACAGTCAGCCCTAGATTTAATAGATAGTGTTCATGAGCCAATTCCATAATCTCTGGAGAGCTTTAAAAGTTTCAGCCCATTGGCATTACAGAAGTTATGGACTTCTATGCAACACACTCCAAAAGATTTGTTTTCCATTGCATGTTCTTCTTTCTCACTTCCACTTCTAAAACTCCCAAAGTGTATCTCCATTATCATTCTGCTTTACCTTGAAAATGTAATTCTGATGGGGAGAGGGGGATAACTTTTTTGTTAGATTTCTTAACTCTTTTATAGAATTATAATTTCCCAGTATTCCTTCACTTGAAAACAAGAACAAAGCAAAGCAACCTTGAAGATGGTGATGGCAGGGAGGTCTGGAGGCACTTGGCAGAGCAACATTTGCGATGGTAACATCAGTGGTGAATTTATTATTGTGTTGTTTTTTTAAATGCCAGCAGGCTTTATGTGGTCCGCAGGTCACATGTTGTGCAGACCTGCCTTAGAGTAGTATTGTATAACCCAATCCCATCAGCAAATGCCAAGAATTAAAAATGGATCTCCTTTAGGCAAAGCACGTTCTTGACAATGAAACAACAGCTTCTCCCATGGAGTTCCTGGGGAGGCTAGCCAAAAAGCCTTCCAGGTCAAAATATGGGTATCTTTGCTTTAAAGTCCACAGAGGTGCAAAATGAGGACAAACTGCTGGAAGGCTATATTGTACCTTCACAATAAGATGGATGATCTTATGCTTCGGTTTGTTTTTCACAGCTGACAGGTGGAGGGGATGTGGCAATGCTGGAAGTCCAAGGCAACTATTTCCATGCAAACATGAAAGTTTGGTTTGGAGATGTGGAAGCAGAGACTATGTACAGGTAAAGCAGACACAGACTGTCCTGAAACTACAGAATGATCAGTTGGACAAGTCTCATGGCCACTATTCTTTGCCTCCAAAAGCATCTCTTCGAGGGAGATCAGGAATGAATGAAATGAGTGCAAAATTGGTTGTTGTGTTTATTAATTTAATATTTTTACTTATAGTAGAAGGTAGCAGCTTCTAAAATTTTGAGTCTCCCTGTGCCTGACACAAGAAAAGAGAGATAACTGAATCACACAGCAGCAGCAATGTAATTATATGGTTTATCTGAAAAGAAGGGTCACATTTCCTTTCTGAAAGTATGGAAATAGAATCCAAAAATCTCCTATTTTTATTTCATGTATATACTGTCAGGCATTTTGTGGCTGATACCAGAACTGTAAGTCACAAAGGTAGGGATTTAAGTAAATTTATTGCAAAAACAATAAAAGCCACAAAGAAAAATTCCATTCACTGAGAAGTAGATAACCCAAGCCTTATTTCTAGTAAAATTAAAGTTTCAACAATATGCCACTTTCTCTTGGTTGTACAATACAACCAGCTCAAGATCTCTTACTTCTGATGGAGGAAAGATTAATGGAAAGTTACTATAATGAATAAGTCTAGGTTCAGACTATGTGCTTCTACCTTTGCCAGAACTAGTTCTCACAAGACAGTGTATATTTTGCAAGATAATCAAGATGAAGTATATAAACGTATCTCATTTTCATCCACATGACAACACTGCCTGAGAGATAAAGACTAGCCCAAGATTAGTTGGAGAGCTTTGTGACTGATGTGGACAATCTGGAATGTGGCTGTTTGAGTTTAACAGACCTAGCATCAATGTATGGTCAAAAAAGTCAAGATGGCAGCCATGGTGGTGAGATCAAACCATTTTTTTTAAATACAGTGCACATTCAGCAGACGAAAAAGTCCAGGTGGAGCTTTGCTTTCCTCTTTTAACTTCCCCCATGGTCATTTTTTTTTCCAAACCAGTCCATGATGGGATCTTTTGCTACTCACAAACTAGATTCTTATGAATGGTTTGAGTTGTCTGAAATGTTAATTAATGGACTGGTGTGTTCTCTGTTGCTACTTTTTCTTACATTTGTTTTAAACACTAAAACATAGTGCAGTTGATTTTAATTTTGTATTCCACATCCTCTGTGGAGAATGTTAAGAGAATAATTAGTAAGCACAGAATGCCATCACATTTTAATATACTTTGGATGCTTCTATAACCCAAATGGGCTTTTTCTAGCCCATTTCTTGTTGACTATCTTGTAACTAAGATAAATGATAAAATGATGGCTCTCATTCATAAGAATTTCATTAATTTGGGGGGGGATTATCATTAGATTTTGGGTTTGAACATTAGAGTTCTTATATATATTGTACTGGTGTAGCACAAAGTCATGACCATAAGGAGAAAAGATACTGTTCAAAATCAGACAATGAAAAACTGCATTCTATGCTAACCAAACCAAACCAAAGGCTTATTTAATGCAGCATCCTTTTTTTCACATTGCTCAACCAGGTACCAATTGTAAATCCATAATAGGAAATAAGTAGAAGAATTTCCTTATTCCATAACAAGTATATACAGTATAGAACCATGGCTTGTGGAAATGTTCCATAGCTAAGCAAATAGATGTCCCATTTGACTGAAATTGCCCCAGTTTAGTGCTGCGTTTGGATGTCCTATTTACAAAATAGTCCTGGAAAGTTGGCCTGTGTAGAACTGCAAACAGGGAGAATAGATTTAGCCAGCTGTCATTCCGCTTTGCCTGTTCAAGCTCCATAGATAAAAAGGAAGTACACGTTGAAAGAGCATTGAAATCCAAACTCTCCACATTTTTATTTGCACAAATGTATTGATTACAACCACTGCTTGAAAATCTACTGAGCCTATCTTGGGAGGGGATGGGGGAGGAAAAAAGGCACATGTTATGGATATGAATATAAATATGTATGCATGCACACACCCAAACACATAAACAAATTTGTATTTTTGTTCGTTTGTTTAGGAATTCCAAGTCCTTAGTGTGTGTTGTTCCTGATGTCTCTGCATTCAGCCCTGATTGGAGATGGTTACGATACCCAATTACTGTCCCTCTTCTGCTACTAAGGAATGATGGTCTGATTTATTCCAGTACATTCAGCTTCACATACACACCAGAACAGAGTTTTCTGTGTGGTCCACCACTCCTGCCAGAGATGGTGCAGGATTCTGACACCTTGCTCAATTCCATCCATCAAGAATTCACTAAGACAAAGTATCACCTTTTCACGCAAAGCTAGAACTGGAACTGTATGGTCACCATTGTTTGACTAGAGCAAAATTATGGCAAACACATGGTTTTATAAAATGGTGGAATGTGGTTTTTCTAAAATAGGATCATATGAACATTTTATTTTTAAATCATGCTCTGTACACATATTAAAGCATACAGCTCTGTGTTTCAACACGAGAAGGGTGGGAATTACTTAATTGCAATGCATTGCTTTAGTAGGGAAAAAGATTGCTGATTTTTTAACCTGTATTCCCTATTTGGCATCTTAAAGAGAATATGCTATTAATATACATTATACAATTCTGTGTATATTGAATATAATTGCATCAGCACAGGCAGCGAAACTCATGCTGCATATTTATCAAGTATCTACTAAAACACAGCAACAGCAAAAAAATTCTAGTGCTTATGTCACAGTGATGGTTTTAATGTAAATGTGAGTGTTGGTAAAAGGGTGCATTCAGGCATTTGCAAGGCAGGAGATTAAAAATATCAGAACTGTTGTCACAATGCTTTTTTACTTCTTTATTTTATTTGCTTGTATGATTTTATTTATTGGATGATCAAAAAGAGAGTTTTTGTTGGGGGGTTGCATTAGAAGATCTCCAAGGTCCCTTCCAACTCTCTTATTTCAACAAGAGCCATGATGGCGCAGTGGTTTGAATGCAGTATTGCAGGCTAATTCTGCTGAATGCCATGAGTTTGATTCTGACCAGCTCAAGGTTGACTCAGCCTTCCATCCTTCCAAGGTTGGTAAAATGAGGACTCAGATTGTTGGGGGCAATATGCTAACTCTGTAAACCATTTAGAGAGTGCTGTAAAGCACTGTGGAGTGGTATATAAGTCTAAGTGCTATTGCTATTCTGTTATTCTGTTGTGCAGTTGAAGAAAATTGTAGTTAGACCCACTTCTGCTATAGAGAAATGTATTCTTCTTCACCTCCCTTTGGTTTTTGGAGCACTTCTAAACCAATGGAGGTCAAATGAATCTATGAAGTGGTCAAATGGTTACATAAATATGCTGAAACAAATTACATCAAAGAAGTCTTATTTAAAACAGAGGACATCCCACATTTATGTGCTTTCAAGAAGATACACAATTGTCTGTGGGAAGAATATTCTCAGGTACTTTTTGCTTCAAAAGTCTGCCCCACCTCAACCATTCAGTTGGCATTTAACAGACACTGAAATACCAGCTCCTCACTTTTTCTTATTTGATGGCTGAAAACGAACCTCTAAGAACCTCTACTGTAGAACCTCTTTCCCATAGCGGTCAAATATCTGAAACACACCATTTTATACAAGGTGGCATTCTCTCAGACAAATACATCACTTTTTGGGTTGTTGCTTCAAAGAGCTGCCCTTACACACTTTAGTTCTCCAGCTTCGGTTGTAAAAATTGGCAATCTGTCTCCAGTTCAGTTCTTAACCAACACCAATTTTTAGCTATCCTAGCTTTAAGGAAGTAATAACATGTCTGAAAGAGGAGGAAAATAGCATGGTAGTGGGCCTTTTTCAAGTATTCAGCAGGAATTTTGAAAAAGATTTATGCCCCCTTTTAGACAGAGCTGTGAGTCCAATTGCCAATTAATTTTAAGCAAGCAATGCAACCCTGAAAGCCACGGGAGGAGAGAGAGAAGGCAGTAAAGACCAACATCTCCTTGCAGGAGGCAGTAGAAAAGGAGGAGGGCAGATTAAACAATATTCCATTCATTAGTCCACCTAAAGAAGGCCTTCATTGAGCCACTGCTATGCAGTCCTCCTCATATATAAATGTGTGCACAGTTCTTTATTAATAAGTTTCTAGCAAGTTTCAAAGGATGTTGGGAAGCGTATGTAGTGTCCCATACATGTCGTTGGCTTGAAGGTTTATTCTGAATGATGAATACAGCACCAAAGGGCCAATCCAACATTCTAAAAAATGTTGTTTTAGCATCCAATGCCAACTTAGAAGGGAACCTGTTGCCAAAACTGTAGTGGCTTTTCTAACTGTGATGAACTCTTGAAAGCTTATAAAAGAGATGGGTGGAACAGACCGCAGGCTAGTGACTGTCAGCCTCCTGAAACAGCCAAGGGAGCCATGCCAACAAGAAGCCTTTTTTTATTTTTATGGCCATTTGAAATTCTGTGGTTGATGTGCTTCAGATTAGCACAGCAATCATTTCATGCCAGTAGTTTCTAAGATTGGGCTCTCATCCATAGCTCTTTATATTAACTTAGGTACTTCTGCAGTATCAAAGATTCATTTCATTTATTCATTAAGAATGCTAATCTCATTAACAGGTGACCTGCCTTTAATACACCAAAGTACTTCTAGTCATTCACCAATTACTGTTGCAGCGTGGTTCAGTGCCTAACCAATTCCAATTAGACCTTTACAAGCCAAGGGGTACTTTATTTTCATATGCACAGTATTATATTGTTATTCATTCCCAAGTCCAGAGCAATAAACCTAGATCTCCCTATGTTAGCCTCACAACAACCTTGTAGAGACCGGTGAAAGTCAGGAGCAGAGGCGTAGCGTGGGGGGTGCACGGGGGGCCGGCCGCACCGGGCGCAACATCTGGGGGGGCGCGCTCGCACTCGCAGCTCTCTGCCCCTGCCTGTGCGAATCCGATCTGAGCCGCCGGGTCGCCGCCCACTGTGGAGGGGGGGGCGCAAATTACTTGCCTTGCCCCGGGTGCTGACAACCCACGCTACGCCACTGGTCAGGAGAGTGTCACACCATAGTATTGCCAGTTTAATACAGGAAGTCCTTGACTTACAACTACAATTGAGCCCAAAATTTATGTTGCTAACTGAAATGTTTGTGAGTTTTGCCCCATTTTACGACCTTTCTTCCCACAGTTGTTAAGTGAATAACTGCAGTTGTTAAGTTAGTCACACAGTTGTTAAGTGAATCTGGTTTCTTCATTGACTTTGCTTGCCAGAAGGTCACAAAAGATGATCACATGACCCGGGACACTGAAACTGTCATAAATAGGAGTCAGTTCCAAGCTTCTGAATTTTAATCATGTGAACACAGGGATGCTGCAGTGGTTGTAAGTGTGAAAAACGGTCATAAGTAACTTTTTTCAGTGCCCCTGTAACTTCAGTCACTAAATGAACTGTTGTAAGTTGAGGACTACATGTATGTTAGGCTAATATTGTCCAAATAGGGTGGGACTGCCACAACTAGACTTCCCAAGCCTGAAGAAATCCAGGGATTCTACCATATCTAGATGACACCAGGTTAGAAAAAATAGCTCTGGGCTGCAGTGCAAATAATTTTGTCTTGACTCATGTGGGTTTCATTGGTTATGTCTTTTGACCATTTGAAGCAAAATGAATTTATTGTATATTTATTTACTTAAATAAGCACCAAATGCAATTTCCACCTATTTATGAGCCTTCACCAGAGCTGGTGCACTATCATGTCTATCACTGTCAGAAATTGCCATAAATTGTCATTATGTGGAGGGCATAAAGTTGGGTGAAGTTGACTAAAATTAAACTGCATTGGGGTTTACTCTAATATATGAATCAACTATAGATTTTACTATTCAAAATGGGAGAATTATCATTTTTAATTGAGCAGTTGGGTATAATAATTTCCCTGGCTTATGTGTTTGTGTTTTGTTTTCCTTGATGCATCCCTAAATAAATGTGATTGAAATTCAGAAAAGACATCTAGAACAGGGGTGTCAAACTCGCCTTGTGATGTGTCATAACGTATCGTGACTTTTTTCCCCTTGCTGGAGCTGGGGTGGGCGCAGCTTCCGTGTGACACATCTGGCCCATGGGCCAGCAGTTTGACACCCCTGATCTAGAATATCTCTTGGATGAATGATTTGTAATATAAAAGATAAGATTTTGGAAATGGATGTTTAGAAGTATTATACAGAGAGCCACTTGGCTACTTTAAAACTGTTTCATTTTCTTTTAAATTGTCTTATGGATTCTGCCAATTGCCTGTCATTGAACAAATGTTGGCTTGGTAAATTTTGGCTCTATGTGATGTGCAAACTATGTGATGTGATGGAGCTGTGTTGACCTTCAAAGCGTGATATCTATCTCAGAATCTGCCCCTTGTAATGCTTTCTTTTGAGTATTAGCACCAATATGGTCTAGTGCAGTGGTTCTCAACCTGTGGGTCGGGACCCCATTTGGGGTCGATCGACCATTTCATGGGGGTCGCCAAGCAAGGCTGTCCGCCATTTTTTTTGTCCGCCATTTTTCCCCCCTTTTCCGGCGGGTGCCTTACCTCCCTTGGGCTGGGCCAGCTGGTGGTCGGCCTGCTCCGTCTCTGCCGCTTGCCAGCTACGCCTCGGCCGGCGCAGGGGGTGGAACCACGCATGCGTGGCGCTCCCGGGCAGGGAAAATCCTTGACTTACGACCGGTTGGGTAGTCCTCGACTTACGACCGGTTTAGTCCTCAACTTACGACCGGTTTAGTCCTCGACTTACGACCGGTTTAGTCCTTGACTTACAACCGGTTGGGGTTGCGGCATTAAAAAGGTTGAGAACCACTGGTCTAGTGGTTAAGGCACCAGGCTAGGAAGCGCGAGAATGTGAGTTCTAGTGCCACCTTAGCCATGAAAGCCAGCTGGTTGACCTTGGGCCAGTAAGCCCAACCCACCTCACAGGGTGTTGTTGTGGGAAAATAGGGTGTTGGATATATTCGCCACCTTGAGTTACTTGTAAAATAATAAAGATAGCAAACAAACAAACAAACAAACAAATAAGACTGCTCTTCGTTACATTACATAGTGAATAGAGGTTTGCAAAAGTCTGAACTATCTTCATATACCCCCCCCCCACATCCATATCAAACTAAAAGTGATTTGAATGCAAAACAGCTATTCCACATTTGAAACAGATTACTCTGATAATTTGAAACATTTTGACTTTGAAACAGAGTTATTTCTACCATGAAGTGATTCTAAAATGACAGCCTGTTTCAAGTTCAGAATAGTTTTTTCATACTCCAAAACAACTGTTTCAATCCTGAAGAAAGGCCTTCTGAATTT